AGACACCCCCCGCCCCCCCCCCGGGCGGGCCACCTGTCCCTACTGAGTTGTGGACCCCTGTGTGAGGAAGTGCAGCAGCTGACACCCACCCCCTGCCCCCTACCAGGAGGATCAGCTGGGCCTGTCCCTGCTCAGCCTGGAGCAGCTGGAGTCGGAGGAGACGCTGCGGAGGATAGAGCAGATCGCTCAGCAGCTGTAGCAGGGTGGGGGTGAGGCCATAAAAGGAGTTGGCCGTGACTCCTGAGCCTTACCTAGCCCTGGGGCCCAGCAGCTTGGAGGGCACCTCCGGGGGAGGCGCTTAAAGGTCCCTGCTGGACACCTCAGGCAGATGTTCTGGCTGCCAAGTCTACAGCCTTTAATCACAGGAGAAGAGGACAGGGGAAGCCCGACACTGGGTGCCCCCAAGGGGTGGGAGCGAGTCAGGGAGATGAAAGGACTCCCCTCCCCGCCTCCCATCCCTCTCCCGCTCCTCCTGAGAAGCCGCATCCAAGTGGTTCTGTCGCCTTCAGCGGGGGCCCAGGTCCTGGGTGCTGGCGCTGAGGGTCCGAGAGGCCTCGCCCAGGTGCCGGCTGGGGAACTGGGGACAGGCACAGGGGGTGGGTGAGGGGCAGGACACAGCTCTGCTGCAGCTGCCCCTAGGGTTACTCCCCAGCAGCCTGGCTGCCAGTCCTGATGGCCGCGTTGCTCGTCCTCCTGTCCCCACGTCCACCCTGACTCCGGTCCATCCGTTCCCCCGCCTCTACCCAAGTAAAAGCCAACCATGCTCCCTGTCCTGGCGTTCACTCCACTGCCAGCCTGACCACTCCCACCCTTCCCTTGCCTCTGGGCCTGTCAGTGTGGCCCCTCACTCGACCCTTGACCCGGGTGTCCCCCTCACCTGGTTCCCAGCAGCCCTGGAACCATCCATGTTCAGCATGTTGAGTGACATGGCTCTCTTCATCCTACAAAGGAAAGTTGGTGGGTGGGGCACAAGTGAGCCCAGGAGTGTCTGGCTCCCACCCTGGGAGGGACCTCTGCAGTGCCAGGTTTGATTGTATGTGTGGCAGGGGAGACGGGAGCCATGGAAGGTTCCTGAGCAGGACAGGGAGAGGGGTGGGCTACAGATTCAGCCGCCAACCTGACCCAACACTCACCCGGCCGCCCCCGCCACCCCCTCGCCTCGGAGCCGGGAGACCAGCTTCTCGCTTCCCCGCCGGATGGACTCTCGGAGCTTGGAGAACGAGCTGCTCCGACGAAAGGTCTGGGGAGGGTGCCAGGGACACGGGTCAGTACCCCCCCATTCCATCCAGTCCCCACCTCCACCCTGGGAGCCGAGGCAAAGCCCGTCCTCACCTGCTGTTCTGCGTCACCAGCTGTGCCTGTGTTGGGGGCTCCTGGGGAACAGATGGGGCCACTGTGGTGGGGATGCTGAGGAGCCCCCTGGGGGAGAGGGGAGGGGCTGGGGGCTCACCGAGAGGGGCAGGCAGGGCCTCCCTGCTGAGGATTTCTTTGTACAGTTCCTCCGCCTGCTGGTACTTGTTCTGTTTCAGGTAGGCTGAGGCCTGCGGGGAGGGCGTAGCCTGGGTGATCTTGGCTCAAATCTGGGCGCTTCCCAGGCCCCAGCACTGCACCCAGGCACATCCATCCAGCCCCCGCAGGAAGAAGCCCAGGTTTACCCCACACTCCAGGCCTTGGCCGACAGCAGGGTGGGCTTGGAGCCCAACCCCACCTACTTCCCATAGGGTAGGTCACTTCCTGACTCAGAGCAGGAACCTGTTCCCCACTCTACCTTGAGCCAGTAACACACCTCTCTGTGCCTCAGTTTCCTCATCTGCAAAATGGGGCAACGGGAGCACCTACCTCATAGGGCCCTTGAAGAAACGGACAGTACAGGCAAAGTCCTAAGGGGGTTTAGCTCAATAAATGCTCTCATCTGCTCCCGGCCCGTCTCTCTGGCTTCCTCTTTGACTGGAGCTGTTCTCTGGCTGCCACCAACTTGCCTGTTTCCTGATGCTTCCGTGTCCTCTGTGCTGAGCAACCTCATCAGTCAGGGCCCAGCTTGGAAGCTGAGTCCCATGGGACAGCTCGAGAGCTGGGCAGAGGTGGCGCCCCTGGCCTCCGTGGTATCCCACCCTCCAGCCGATGGGTGCTCCCCAGTGCCGCGGCCCCAGGACCAAAACACCCACGCCCCAAGGCGCCCTCACCAGGTTGTTCTTGGTCTTGGCCACATTGGGGTCGTGAGGCCCACCTAGGGCCTTGTAGATGCTCAGGGCCCGGCCGTAGTGCCGCTCCACCTCCTCGAACTTGCCCTGGTTCTGGCACAGCAGGGCCAGGTTGTTGAGCTGCTTGGCCACGTCCGGGTGGTTGGCGCCCAGGACCTAGGAGTCATGGGATCACAAGTCATTGGGGTCAGCCGGGGTTGGCGGGCCACATGATGCCAACAGCTGTAATGAGAGTCATGGGTTGGTGGTTATAGGATTGAAGTGGATGGAGAACTACAGGAGGTTGGGGGCGGAGGGCAGGAACTGCACGGTTAAACTGGGGAGTAGTTGGGTCAGAGGTCATGGTGGTGCAAAACCTCATGATTATGGGTCAAACAGGTAGATCAAGGTTGGGGTTGTACTGGTCACGTGGGGTTGGAAGGTCAGGACCGGGTTGGGGGCATGAGGTGACCTACGAGAGTCAGAAGTCAAGACCAAACGGAAGTCATTGGTATGTCAAGGGTGGTGGGTCACGGGATTGGGTGCTCTAGGTTCAAACTGGAGGCTCACGATGTCAAATGGGGGGAGGCACAGAAGGTCAGAGGTCACAGGAGCAAATCAGGGTCATGCAAGGGCCACAGAATTAAGCACTGAAATCAGGATCAAGGGGTGAGAGCCACTCAGGACGGGCTCCGTGGGAGCCGGGTGGGGGCAGGACCTTCTCACGGATCTCCAGGGCGCGCTGGCACAGGGGCTCTGCCTCCTGGTAACGCCCACGCTTCCCGTAGAGGACGGCCAGGTTGTTGAGGGTGGCGGCCACCTGCAGGGCGGGAGAGGCGCGTCAGGGGTGGGAAGGCACAGCCCACAGCCCTCCCTCCCCTCCTGGGCCTGCGCTCACCGCGGGGTGCTCCCGGCCCAGTGTCTGCTCCCGGATCTGCAGGGCGTCCTGGAGAAGGTCTGTGGCCTCTTTGTACTTGTTCTGGTCCCTGTGGGGTGGCCCGAGGGTGGAGGCGGTTTGGCCAGGCTGGGGTAGCAGGGGCCACGGGCTGGGCTGAATCCCGCAGGCCCAGGGACCTGACGACCAAGCATGGGTGGCACCCTCTGCGGGTCCCTTCTGGGAGTCCCCATACCTCCCAAGTCTAGCACAGGGTCCCCACACTCCCAGTTGGCTGCCGAGCCTCTGCCACCCCAGGTCTCTTCCCCACTCCACTGTGGTCTCTCTTGCCCATGCTGACTCCTCTTTGCCTGCGTCTCAGTGAGTGGCCTCCCCAGATCTCTGTCCCTTCTCTCCACCACCACCCCTGGTGCCCTATGCTGGCAGAGCAGGACACCAGGGCCCCCCCCCCTCTTCTGCCCAACGACAGGTCCCCGCCCTTCCTGCCCCCTCCAGCCGTGGCGGCTGCAGCCCTCACCGGTACACCAGCGCCAGGATGTTGAGCATGGTGGCCACGTCAGGGTGGCAGTGGCCCGAGCTCCGCTCCAGATCCTCTAAGGCCTGGCGGCACAGCGGTGCAGCCACCTCGTAGCGGCCCTGCCCCGTGTACTGGATCACGAGGTTGTGCAGGGTCCGAAGGCGGGCCGGGATCTCGTAGCCACCCTGCTGAGCAGAGATGGCCCCCGCTGCCTCGGGACCTGGGGGTGCCGGGCACCCAGTCACTGCAGGCCTCCTACTCTTGCAGCCCCGCACGAGGGGGCACATGCACCCCAAAGCTACAGCTGCCTCACTGGCCCCTGGGACCACGGGCCCCTGTTCTGACGTCGGAGATTGGAATCACAGGCATCTTACTGGCCCGTGGGATGTGTCCTAGCCTGCGGGACAGAAACATGGGAGCCACCTGGCTCCTGGGGCCGTGGCAGGCCTGCTTTTGCAGCTTCCAGCGTCACCTGCCCGCTGTCACCCCCACAGCCCCCTGCTTCCTCCTCCTGACACCCCGCCCTGACCTTCCCCATCCTCCCCCAGAGGCCTTGGGGGTCCAGCGAATCAGAGATCCCCCCGGCCTGGGCCACTCATCCTCCTGGCCGAGCTCCCCACGCCCACCTTTCCTCTCCTCTTCCTCACCGGGGTACAGGGAGGCCAGGCTGTCCCGCCGACGGGGGGACGCGGGCTGCTGCAGAGAGGACAGGAAAGCGCGTGTCGTGAGGCTTGGGAGTTTGAGTCAGAGACGCGGGCCCTGGATCCCAGGGTTTGAGGGTGGTGGTGGTCAGGGGTCTCCTGGGGGCTTGGGGAGGATCCTTGGGCTCTGTGGAGCAGATGGGGGCCTTCTGTGGAAGTTCTAGTGGGTCTGGGATTTGTGGGGCTCTGCAGAGGGTCAGGGGGTTCTTTGGAGGGTCTGGGGCACTGGGGGGGCACCACGGAGGGATGGGGGCTGTGGGGCATCGAAGGAGTGCGGGGGCCCCCGCCTCTCTGGGTCCCGCAGCACCTGGCTCTCCGCCGGCCGGTCGTGCCCCCGCGGCTGCCCCCGGAACTGCAGGTGGCCCTTCTCCTCTTCCAGCTGGGCCACAGCCTCCTCGCTGGCCCGCAACCGCTGCTGCGCCTCCTCCAGCTCTTCCCGCAGCCATGTGTTCTCCTGGGCCAGCCGCCGGGCCTGTGCTCGCAGCCGCTGCTTCTCAGCCTCCAGCGCGCCCACATGTGCCGACAGGGCCAGCAGCACCTGCCAGGGAGGCGGGGGTGGCGAGTCAGAGGCCTGGTCCCTCTCGCCCCCGACCCAGCCCAGGGCCTCAGATCAAGCCAGAGCACCCCATTCTCTCCAGGGTGCCCTGGATTATACAGAGACTCCTCCGTTGTGGCTCCAGGGATGCTCAAAGGCTCTCAGGGCCATACTCCAGTCCTGCCCCGGGACCCCTCTGATGTCACCCAGGCACACAAATTACACTCAGGATAATTCACATCCCACCCGTGCAACCCCAAAGTCTCCCCAGGACCCACAGTTCCATGGAAGGACCCCACGTGGTTCAGGGGTCCCTGTCACACATAAGGACCCCATCCCCAATGCAGCCCAGGGATCCCACCTCAGGACTGGAGTCTTCCCTCCCGGGCCTGGCTCCCCTAGTCCTCGCTCCCCCCAGGCTGCCCCCTGCAGCACACCTGGCACCCTCATCCCTGGGCAAGCCCCAGGCCTGAGCCACATCCCCCGTAGCTGAGTTGGCCCCCTCATACCTGGGCCTCACCCAGCCCCAGCTCGATGGCCTCCAGTGAGTGGCTCACCACCTCCTGCTTTTCTTCCAGCAGTTCCAGGCCAGCCACCGGGCCCTGTCCTGCCAGGGCCTCCGCCAGGTGCCCGGCCAGGCCCCGGTGCTCTGCCCGCAGGGCCTCCAGCCCCTGTACCACTTGTCGCGTCTGTCGCACCAGCTCCTCAGGGCTCAGGTGCTCTGGGCCCAGCCCCATGCTTCCCGGGGCCGCCACCTTCACGGACATTGCTGCTTCTGGGGGTGACGGGGATCAGGGGGTCACTGCCAGGGCCAGGCAAGTCAGCCCCTCTGCCTCCGCGCCATTTGCGCCACAGGTCCCCTCAGCCCTCTCCCTGTCCGCCCAACCCGGCCAGCCCTCTGCCTCCGTGCTCTCCTCACTCCGGCCAGCACCCTGTCCCACACCCATCCTGGCCAGCGGGCAACTGGAAACCTAGTCTTCCCTGTCCTCGGCCCAGGGCCCCGCCCTGAGGGCAACTCCAAAACCTCATTATGTATGATTAACCAAAGGAGGGCAAACAGCCATCTCGAGGCCTCCTACCCAGCCCACCCCAAGGACCCTGGGTACCCTGGCCCAGCACTCCCGGCTGTGTGACCTTGGGACCAGAGGTGCCCTCGCCCACTGGGCGTGTGGGGCAGGACGCGTGGAGGCGGCAGCCTCTCTGTGAGCTCATTCTTAGGGTGTTTTTGTTGGGAACCAGTCAGACCACTGGGGGTGGGGTGGGGCAGGAGGAGAGGGCCAAGGGGCTGGGGTGCTGGAAGCAGAGGCCTCTAGACTGGGGAGGTCAGGAAGGGGGGCCCTGTGTGGTGGCTCCCGGAGCCTGAGGACCTGACAGACCCAGAGGAAACAGGCTCCACCCTCCACTGCAGACATCCTCAGCCAGCCCAAGGCGTGCTGGGTCACACGTGTGGCAGGCATGGCCCATGGATGTCACATTGGCCATGTGACAGCTGAGGGTCTGAGGCCCAGATGGTAATGGATGGGGGGGGGGTTCACATGTGGGACTTCATGGGGTTGTATATGGGTGACAAGGTGAATGACACATCTGGTGACGATGCCTCTGGGGCCCTGACATACATACATACATACACACAGACACCTCTCAGAAATACAGCGTAATACACATTGTCCTCTCAGAAATGACACACACACACACACTTAAAAATACAACTCAACACACCCTCACGCACATCCACATTTTCCTTTCAAAATATTGATACAACCTAATGCAACACACTAAGGCACGCACACAAATACATTCTTCTTTCAGAAATAACACATACACACTCCCCTCTGAGAAGTCCAACTCAACACACAGGTATACTTTCCTTTCAGAAATAAAAGCCAGACATAGAAAACAAATTTACGGTTACCAAAGGGGAAAAGGGGAAGGGAGGGATACATTAGGGGTTTGGGATTAACATATACATATATAAAATCGATAACCAACAAGGACCTACTGTGTAGTACAGGGAACTATACTCAATATGCTGTAATAACTTATAATGGAAAAAGACTGTGAGATATATATATATATATATAAAATACAACGGAATCACTTTGCTGCACACCTGAAACTAACACAACATTGTAAACCAACTCTTCAGTCAAAATTTAAAAACAAAATAAAAGCCAAGACACAAACTGTCTCCTCCCTCAGCAGCCCCTCAGCTGCAAAAAGATAACCAAATCCCAAATCACTTCCATTGGGACTGTCTCCTTGAACTTTTATGCCCATGACACATGCCCTCTCCTACACCCCCACAGTCCTGCCAGCACCTAGCGCTCCATCCTACGCTCAGCACATCCTCCATGCTCCCAGGATTCACGGTGGACCCGTCACCATCCTTCCCATTTCCTTCCTTCCTCCCCGCCTGGCCAGCCAGGGATTCGCACACAGGCACACTACAGAGTTTCACACGCGGACGTGCGAATGACCCCTGAGGCCAGGCTCTTACACTGTCACAAGCAGGTGCCCATGGCACAGACAGCTGTAGAGACACAGGTAGTTCCATGCTTTCCGCACACAGTCTCTCAGGCTTACTTCACTCAAGCCACTGTGTTCCCCTGAACAGCCCAGAACTTTTAGCACCTGTGCACATGCTCCCAATCACATCCACTCACAGAGTAAGGGCAGGTGTGTAATCCTGCGGATTTTATATACTGCAGCCTCTCCATCGCCATCAATCTCTCTCTCTCTATGTATATACGTGTTCGTACATATATCAATCTCTCTGTGTACGTAGTATATAAGTGTGTGTATGTATATCACACCATATGTAGTCTTACACCCCACACGCAAGTCAAACTCACAACCACACCCGTTCATTGAGTCATCCCAACAACCATGACCATCATTCACGAAAGTTTGCAGAATTATACAACCTCCCACAACATCACGCACAATCTCAGACAGCTGAGCCGAATGTTCCAGACGCGACCTCTGCACAGTAACAGAGCGACACGCACAGCCACACATCACTCGGGCTGTTTCCTTGACACACGCTGGCTCCCCACAACTCATGCCGGCCTCCAAACAGCAAACTCCCCTTCACCAGCTGAGCCCCGTGCGCACAACCGCGCATCTGACAACGATGTTCACAGTCACACTCCACGCATCCATCCTGAACCCACGGTGCCCACCTCCTTGTCACCACCCCAGTCTTACAGGCAGAGAGACAACCACGGCCACACAATTTCTTGGTGACACACCTAACGCTATAAACAGTTCAACTCCCTGCCACACACACACACACACACACACACACACACACATTACAGACACACAATCAGAGGTCGCCCACATTTTCACATCACTGAAACAGTTTCACATCATTCAAGCAGTCCCTCTGTGCCCTCGCAGGCTTACACGGACAGGCCATCTCCTGTACCCACCTGTACCCACAGCCTGACACCATCACACACACCTGAGCTTCGTACACCATCTCTCATGCACACGCACGCACCATCTCCACACACACATACACTCGCAGGCGGGAGACCCCCATCCTGGCCAGCCCCGCAAACCACACAACTTACCCCTGGCCGGCCGGTCCAGCCCCGCGCACCCCGGTTTCACCGCCCGCGCGCCCGCCCGCCGCCAGGCCGT